TCTCTCATTTGAATTTTTTACGCTCTTGAATCTTGTTGCTGTGTAATTCTAGCCAGCTTGACACTGATTCTATGAAAGAAAGCATTTGCTTGGAAGTGTGTTCAAATTAAGTCAGCTGAGTCATGCTCAGCTTAATTTTGTTTGGGGGCCACGGTGGAGGTGTGGCTGTGTTTCTGTCAGCTTCCCATGAGGAATCTGTGTTAAATAGCCGTGTGAAAACTCGATGTTCACAAGTGTAACTGAAATCAGCAGGAGTGCAAATACAAAAAACCCTTTGAAAATTCAGTCAAATGTAAGAAACATGCACAGTAACTTGAGAGAAATGAAGTGTTTTGTAGTAATTGTCTTATTTTAGAGCTGAATTCCTCTGCATGGTGGTGTTTGTAGCATGCTTTCAACAGAATGACTTTTACAGACGTGACAGTATGTGCATGTCAAATTTTGGCGTGCGAGCACAACATTGTGACTAAATCATCCAGTGGAGTAGTCTCCTTGCTGTGTGTGAGGAACAGAATTGTCCTGTGTCAATTAGTTAGCTGTGAAAGTGCTTGAGAAATATGGGAAGCAAAGGAAAAAATTCTAGCTGGCAGTGGCAGAAATGGTACTTCTACATTAACATTGCCTTGAGGTAAGAAAGGCATTTTTGTTAAGAAGCGCATTAGATGCCGTATGACTTTGTAACGTGAATTAATTTAACTAATCATGTCGACGTAGCTGAGAGAGGCAATACTCTGATTAAAACGGGCTTCTGCCAGGAATGGCTTTGCAAGACTGAGCCTATACAGTGGAAAAACACCTTTGTCCAGCAAACAGGAAACTATAAATGAAAAATGTGCTCTAGGTCTGGGAGAGGCAGCAGCACCAGAAAATCCATCTGGAGGCTGACCAGCGGAGGGGCTGCAGCGAAGAACTGTGCTGCAAATGGAAGAGTCTGCCTCGACCTCTTGACTTCCGCTGAGATGTGTGGAGCAACAGCAGTCATGAAGCAGGAAGGAAGTAACACAACCACAGTGGAGGGGGCAAGGGGGCCGGAGGAGTGCGCCTGGGTGGTCTGCAGAGCCCCTGGCAGCCCTGGGGGAGCCAGCGGATTAGTAAGCACTGGGCAGCGGAAGAACCAGTCTTGCTTCACGCTGAGTTTTGTTCCCCAAAAAGGCTTCTTGAGACTCGCGTCTTCAGATCTGCCAGTGTCAAGGTTGCTCACTTCTACAGACGAGCATAATGGCAGCTAAACAGGCTCTGGTGACGTTTCTGTGCTGTTAAAGGAACAGTTCTCTGTTAACACTGTGTGTTAATGCCTCTGCTCTAGAACCACAGATGTTTTGTGGTAAAAGATTTGCTTTCTGTATAGAATGGAAAAATATTTGCCTAAGCTTTCGCTTTTTATGTATGTAAGCTGAATACATTGCATTTAGATGTAAAAGCACCCCCAGGAACATGAAATTCTACCTGCAGCGTAGCGGTTGCTCTGTCTCTGGGTGCCATCATAGAACAGAAACATGCCGTAGTTCTTTGCTTGAAGATGGTACAATTGCTGCCTTCAGCTCAACTGTAAACAGCGAGGAGAGCCAACTCACGGCCTGCAGCACCTGGTGATGCGTTCAAAAGTCCTTATACGACAGGTGTTTAAATTCCATTGCCTGCCGATGGGAATTAGGTGCCTAAGTCAATGATTCCCAAACTACCGTTGTCATGCCTCTGGTGCAACTCTTGGTCACAGTATTTGTATTCATTATTGTGTTTAGCTAAAAATTTAAAAGAGGACTGTTAAAGTCTGTAAGAAACATGGAAGATTGGAGATCTGTGGCCAAAATGTTTGTGAATCTCTGGTGTAAGTCACTTAAATGTTCTTTGAAAACATTACCCTGTTTCTAGAAGAACGCTAGATTCTGTTGAGTTTAAGCAATGCAGATGAGGACAGCTGCTGATGTTACTAAAAATAAAATACGATCAGAATCACTAAACTTTGATATGCCAATAAAAAATATTTGCTCTAATTGCAAGCATTTATTTGGTCTGTATTAATTTGCGAATGTGTGACTTGTTAAAATAAAGGAGTGCACTCTTGTCATTTTAGCACAGGATTGGTAACTAGTTGTATGTAAAAGCTATTTACTAATATAAAGTATTCTGCAGTTTACTGTTCTTCATGTTTACATCCCGTGTTTTTCCGTTATTTAACCTGTATACTTAGTAGTCTACTCAGACTGTGTTGTAGCACACAGAAAGGGCTCATGTGGAGCTGACTAAATGGTAGAATATGTGTCAAGCGAAGTGTAGGTCACGTCTTGAATTTAGACTCTGTGAAAGTATGACATGGACCTAAAAGATCTAAGGCCAAACATGCAGGAAATTTCTGCAGAAAGGCTGGAGACGGTTACCTGGCTTCTTTAGCTGAAGGTCAGTTCTGCTATCAGGCAAACTAACAGTGTAAGTGCTTCAGCTAGGAGTAGCATGTCTGGAGCAGGTGGTATCTGAAAAATGTCCAAGATTAACTAAATTCGACCAGTCCAATCAGCACAGTAGAAATTGGTGAAAGGCTAAAAGCTGAGGGGAGCGTAGTTTGCTGCAAATGCAGCTGTCCTCAGGGAGATGGCACGCTACGATAGTAGCAAACTTGGTGAGAGAGCTTGGAAAACAAGCATTAAGAAAATACTGTGTGACAGGGGATGCTTCTAGCCCCTCATGGAATGGTTCAGTAATTTGTAGTCTGCAAAATGACGTGTTGCTCAGTGTCATAACTGAGTCTGTGCGGTGCCTCGGTGCCTGATGCAGTCTTCTGACCTCTCTGATGTGTAACAGTGCTGATGTTTGACTCCTTAGTAGGAAGACTTGTTACTTGGGTATTCCTGTACTGCTGCAGGCACAGATGCTTTGAGGCACCCAAGCTAGCTTTATTTCTGCATGACATGGTTCAATGTAGAGCTTGCCTCCTTCACAGAGTTGGGAAGACAACTGAGGAAGAAGCGGTTCTGGACCGCTGTTTGTACTGCTGGGATTTAATGCCCATCCAGTGCTAGTTTCTTGTGAGGGATATAACCCAAAATACTCCCAGTGCTGTTGTGTCCTGTCTGCTAGACAGTAGACCTCCTGTTTCCTATTTCTGGAAATCTTTGCACATTGGCTAAATCTGAAGCAGGGAACATCTCTCCTCCCCTTCTCCAACTTTCTCCGTCCAGTTGTGAAATGGGCAAACCCCGATGGAGTGCTTCTGTTGTATGAATGTCATCAGGCAGAGAAGGGACTTAGAGTGCCAATTTTCAATTCAGATTGGATAATTACTCATCACAATATGACTATCAAGCTTTTGTATGTAAGTTACTATCATTTTAGAAAAAAACCCTGCAGGTGTTTGACCTTGCCTTGGAAGCTGAGCCTGTTGTTACGGTTTAGATGTTCTCTGAGCAAATCTACTGTGTCGGGACCTTCTGGAGACTTGGAAAGACATTCAGTTTATATGGTCCGAGACAGTAGTAGTTTTATATGCTCTCTTAAGGATTTTTCAGACCCAAGAGCGAAGGAGTCTAGTGAGGTTTTCATAGAATCATTCAACCGTTTCGGCTGGAAGATCATCGAGTCCAACCTTTGTCCCAGCCCTATCAACACCACTAACCCATGTCCTTCAACACAACATCTACCCTTCTCTTAAACACCTCCAGGGACGGCGACTCAGCCGCCTCCCTGGGCAGCCTGTTCCAATGTCTGACACCCCTTTCAGTATAGAAATTCTTCCTAATATCCAACCTGAACCTCCCCTGACACAACTGAAGGCCATTTCCCCTCACCACTAGGGAGAACAACTCCAACTGCGGCCTCTCTACAACCTCCTTTCAGGTAGTTGTAGAGAGCGATAAGGTCTCCCCTCAGTCTCCTCTTCTCCAGGATAAACAATAAACAGCCCCAGATCCCTCAGCCGTTCCTCATATGCCGTTATGTTCCAAACCCTTTACCAGCTTGGTAGCCCGTGTCTGTACCCTCTCCAGCACCTCAGTGTGCCTCTCATAGTGACCATCTCATCCTGGATTTGGGGAGGACAGTGTGCTCCTGGCCCTCATCTCTGGGCTTGGGGGGCTGACTTCCCTCAGTACAGGTGTTTGTGTTACTAAAGACTGAGGCAAGGAAGGCATTAAGCGTCTCAGCCTTATCCTCATCCTTTGTCACTATATTTCCTCCTAGCAGGGGATGAGGGTTCTCCTTGGTCTTTCTTTTGTTATTAACATCTTTATAGAAGCTTTTCTTGCTGTCCTTTACTTTCAAAGCCAGATTAATTTCTAGCTGGGCTTTGAACCTTTTAATTATCTCCCTGCGTAACCTAACATTATCCTTATAGTCATTGTGAGTGGCCTGTCCCGTCTTCCAGAAACCATAAACTCCCCTTTTTTCATTGATTTTCAGCCAAATGTTCCTGTTTAGCCAGGCTGGTTGTCTTTGCCGCCAGCTTGTCTTAGAGTGATGGAGATGGCCGGCTCCTGTGCCTTTGGGACTTCCAGCCTTCCTGGACTCCTATTCCCTTCAAAACTGACTACCCAGGGATTCCATCAAGTAACCCCACAAACAAATCAAAGTTTGCCCTTCTGAAGTCCCAAGTGACAGTTTTGCTGTCTCCCCTCCTTACACGTCTAAGAATTGAGAACTTATTACTTTTGGCTCAGATTATGCTGATACTTAATAGATCCGGTCTGAATATTTGTTTTGGATGTTTTCTGTGAATGTATTTCCTTGGGACGGAGGTGTCTTGGAAATGGCCTGCCCATCAAAAAGAGGTTGTGCAAAGCTGGTCATTGTGGAAAATGTCTTGACAAACACAGACCTTGCTCATACGTACCATGTGATGGATGTTTTCTGAATGCTGCCTACACACTTGACAGAGGGTCCCAAAGAGAGTTTCCTAGGCTGGGATACATCTTGAATTGCACTAGTTACTGTTTCTGTTTTGTTCAGAGTGCTGTACCACATCTGTCTTTTCTAAAAAAAAACACGTTTGGTTTTCTGGTCCTTTGCAGACGTAACCTGACAAAGTTATCCCTGATATTCAGCCATATGCTGGCGGAACTCAAAGGTATTTTCCCAAGCGGCCTTTTCCAGGGAGACACGTTCCGAATCACCAAGGCAGATGCTGCAGAATTTTGGAGAAAGGCTTTTGGTGAAAAGTAAGTTTCTAACTGTGCTTAAAAATAAAGATGTGGGAACGGATTGCACCCAGCACTGTGTGTTTTTTTAAATTTCTATTTTGCAGTTCAGAAGGGCCTTTGTCAGATTAAGATAAATAATAGGCGAGACCTGCTAGTCACTTGGTCCACTCTCTAGGGTGAGGTTCAGGATTGTTCCTATCTTGTATTTCCCAATTCTTTGTCCTGCCTTGGCTTAAATGTGTCAAGTGATGGGTCTTTCAGCACTTTCCTGAGGAGACTCTTGTACTGTCACAGAGTTTCCCTCGATTATTCATCTTAAATTTTCCTCTCCTTAATTTAATTCCTTAACTGGTAAGCTCCATGAACTATGCAAAATAATCTGCTTTCTTCTTCCAGAAGTTACCATGCCCCCACTATTAGCTGTCCTTTAGCTAAGTCATTATATTAAATTCGTTTCATCTTCCCTCCAATTATTCTTCCCAATCTCTTAGTCACCTTTCTTCTGGCTTCTTTGAATTTCTGTCAGTTTGCCTACTGCCTTTGTTAAAACAGAATGAAGGAGAAAATGAATGCAATGTATATTTGCGTGCAAACTATTGAAATGTCAGGTTTATTTTTTTTATCTAGTAAAGGCTGACTAAATGAACTGTGAAGGTGTTCACAGCAATGTTTGGGGATTAAAGTTAGTGGAGTTGGGTACTGCTTTCTAACTAAGGTAACTAAGGTACTTCACATAAAGAGTTTAATTAGCAACTATCAGACCAAAAAGCAATAATACATTTACTCACGAATAATACAACTGTCTGAAGGTAGGCACGTGCTGTGTTTCTGTTCCACCTAATATTTTAAAAGAAGGAAACTTTCCTTGAAACAGGAGCCTCTGTTTTGATTTCTGACTATCTTACTTCTCCAGCTAATCCCTCTTTAGAGAATTGTTTGCAGCCTTTTTTTTTTCACTATCTAAACCTCTAATTAAAGACTTATTGTTAATTTCTTCTCTACCAGCTGCCACATTATGAAATTCTTGTCAAGTGATGAAGCTGTATGCAGCTTAAGGTATACACAAGCGTTGACACGATAGAACTGCTGAAAAAGGGAAAGGAGAAAGCTTGACTGCAGATTCCAAAATGTTGCATATGCAGAGAAAATTGTCTAAAGTTCATTTGGCTGCTCATTTCCTACAGTACCAAGAAATCCTGTGCTCGCGTAGCATGAGTAAATCTCTTGTGGCTAATGTTGGTTTTCCTCTCTTCCATTATCATGAGGTGCATACTCACCCCCAAAAAAAGTGATTTATAAGGTATGTACATGTTTGTCTTCAGACATATCACATTTACAAATGGCTCGATTTTCCCCAGGACTATTGTTCCGTGGAAAAGCTTCCGTCAGGCCCTGCATGAAGTACATCCGATCAGTTCAGGGCTGGAAGCCATGGCCCTGAAGTCAACGATTGACTTGACGTGCAATGACTACATTTCAGTATTTGAATTTGATATCTTCACACGACTTTTTCAGGTAGGAATTGAGGAACATGAATCACTTGAAATGTGTCTCAGTGCTTCAGGTTATACTGCTTTCCCAGGACAAACTGTATTTCACACACGAAAATGATATTATTTATGCCGTAAGTGATTTGATCATCTTGCCCTTCATCCCCTAAACAGCTCTAGCAATACTTGATTGTAGAAGAAAAATATACTGCGACTATAAGTCACATTCAGTATCCTTCTGTGAATCAGTTTTTCCCTTTCCAAGGTCACTTTTAGACTGAAGTTCTCACACAGCTTCTGTAAGCCAGGAAACGTGAAGCTTCATTCCTTATCTTTTTGTTTTTCTTGTCAGTTTTATTTTCCATGGCGCAGGCGATGTTGAGGATAGAGCACAAGCACAGAATTTGGAGCTTATTAACTTGTGAACTGACAGAGCCAGGATGCTCTGGACCTGTCTATATTCTGTGCAGGAGAAATATCTGTATTACTCAAGTGATGTTAATAGGTAGAATTGTAATCCACAGTCTTTTATAGTGCTAAACTCAAAAACATAGCTTGGGTATGTGCAATTGGGTATTTGCAAGAACAAACACTTACTTCTTTGGCTCTGACTTGCCTTTTCCCATGTGATAGGGTGGGTTGTAATTAAGATATGCCTAGATGAAAAATTCCCATCTTTAGTGTTGCAATGTAGCTGATCTCATTCAGTGCTTTTTCCAACCATAGTACATAAAGAGCAAGTTAAGAGTTGCTGCAGTTTCCAGGAGATGCAAAGTTCTTGGGGAGAACTAATACCTTATTTTAGACAGTTTGAGAAATATGGAAAAATTCAATGAGATTTAGACACCCAAGGCCTTTTCAGGATGGAGAGCTTCAAAATGGTTGTTATGACTGTCTGTGCATGATTTTAAGGAATATTTCAAATGTATGTGCTGGTTTATTTATTCAAGCCTTAGACTAGCCAGTAATCCTTGCCACACCCAAGTGAGGTTAGGTGGATGAGGAATAGTCACAAGCATCTTACACACAGTGAAACTGAGACAGAGAGGGGAAGTCGCTTTCCTGAGGCTGTGTAGAAAGTTGGGGTTAGACGTCAGACTAGTCATGGTTTCTGGTCCTGTGCGTAATCTTTTTAAACTCCTGTCTCTGGAATTAGTCATTTTCTCTGCAGACACAGCACAAATTGGTAGCTATTCTTGAGCTGTCTTATTGTGACCTCACTGACTTCTCCCTTGGCATTTATTAGAGGAGTTTTGATTTAGGTCTCGCTTAGGTGACAAGAGAGAGTCTTAAATGCTGAGGCTTCTGCATGAGAATATGGTTTTTAGTTCCTCTGCTAGATTTATGGTGGAATGAGAAACCTGCTTCTTTAACTGAAGAACTGACCCCTTTGATTAAGGACTATTGTGTGTGTTGGTCCCTTTTAGAAGCGCATTGCTAATATATTTCTTTGTTGTTTCTATAGCCGTGGTCGTCTTTGCTCAGGAACTGGAATAGCCTAGCGGTGACTCATCCTGGTTATATGGCATTCCTAACGTATGATGAGGTGAAAGCCCGGCTTCAGAAATTCATTCACAAACCTGGCAGGTTAGTGCTTTGCAGCAGTGGCTTTTTTGATCCTTCTTGCTAACATCACTGCTTACTGCGTTGACTGAGGAGGCTGGTTTTATTTTGTGTTTGTCCTCCTTCCTCAGAAATTTAAATTGTGAAAAAACCTAGCTTGTCCAGTGTTTGGAGACTACCCTCCATGTGGTGTCTTACCTCCTGCCTGTCCTCCCAGTTGTCACAACAGCTCTGTCAGGCATGAGCAGAACGCAGGGGCAGACGTTGAGCAGAGTGAGCCTAAACTGTTTGGGACCATGAGTAAGGGAATGTGTCTGTAGGTCCCATAACTTCCCGGTGTATGTGCATAAAACCAGGAGCGCTGAGCAGAGTGCAGCCCCTGGAAGCAGCGTGCTCATCTGAAGCCGACTTCAGACTGACGAGACAGTTGACCAGTATTTGCTCCACCAGAAAGCAGCACGCTAGGCAGAGTGGGCTGCAAGGTAATGCTGCAGACTGAGCAGACTTCAGACACTGTGGACGGTAACACATGCCTTGGGGAGGGCTGTGGACCTGAGCTGTTCTGGGCTACCTAATGTCCCGGGTAGAACTTGGCCCAGTGAAACAAGGCTAACAGATTTCTCTTTGAGCAGGAAGGACCAAGTGTTCATTTCTGGAGGTTTTTGCTGTGCTATTAGTTCTGTGCTGATTTTAAAAATGGAAACTTTGCTTAGTCTCTTTGTTGGTTTTGTTTGTTGGGGTTTTTTTAAGTTAATTTGAAACAAATTATTTTAATGATGCTAACTTTTCTTGCTCTGCATTCTGATTTCACCTGGAGGCCGGCACTTGGATGCTTTTCTCACTCCACTTCAGATTGCAAGGTTCTCCTTTGATCTTTGTGGGGCTAAACTGACGAAAGCTGGTACAAATCACATTATTCCTGCTAGTTTATCTGCTGACATGAGATAGCCAGACGAAGACTACCTACTTGACATTTAGTTTCTTCTATCTTTTCCAGTCCAAACTGACGTTTCTTTTCCTTTGCGTGTTTTCAGTTATATTTTCCGATTGAGTTGTACACGACTCGGTCAGTGGGCCATTGGCTATGTCACTGCAGATGGGAACATTCTTCAGACAATCCCCCACAACAAACCTCTTTTCCAAGCACTGATTGATGGCTTCAGGGAAGGCTTGTAAGTAACTTTATCAAATTAAATGTTTTGCCCTTTTTCACTATGATACTGTTTTATAAATCTTTATCCTGTGCTGAGGTCTCCAAGTCAGCTGAATGGTAAAATTTACCCCCTGAGTTCATTATCGACATCGCAGGAAAAGGAGCATTTTGTAGAGGTCAAGAAATCACTGTTGACATCACTGAGCCCCTCTTGGAGATCTCTCAGCTCTTTTTATTTAGACCTTGATTCAGTGAAACGGTTCAGTCATGACTAGTCCAATTGATGTCAGTGGAGTAATTCTAACGTTTAACTGTTTTAGCACTCGAGAATACTCAAACAGCCGTCTCTTGCCACGGAGAGCTGCACTGTCCTTTGCAATAGCAGACAATAAGTGTGCATCAGTGTTTCCCTTGTCAGAGATTCTTTTCTGGTCTTAACTGGAGCCACCACAGCTGATCAAACTGGACAGTTTCACTATGGAATGACTTGAGAGTAGTCTATTTAAAATAAAAATAGCTGCCAGGAAGGAAGACAAGCTTTTTTTTTTTAAGATTGACATGCTTGGTTCTTGTCTGATGGTAAAAATCTTCCAGTACTTCTTTTGAATTCAGAATACCTCGAATTCTTACCCCTCACTTCTCACCCTCATTTTTGGTTTCCTCCACCATCCCCAGAAGAAACGTTACTTGTGTGTTCGTGTGTGTATGTGTATATGCTTGTGTGTATATGCACATATATAGAAAGAAATCTTTTTTCCCCAACTACTTACAGTTATTTATTTCCTGATGGCCGGAATCAGAATCCTGACTTGACTGGCTTGTGCGAGCCCACACCTCAGGACCACATTAAAGTTACACAGGTGAGCAAACTTTAAAAACCCTTCAAACTCACTTACTTTCTTCCTAATTTCTGGCTTCCTTAGCTGCTTATACAGTTTTGTCATCCATGGTATCCCCCAGGCTTGTTTTTAAAGCTCACGTATTTTATTTTACAGAAGGTGCAGAAATCTTGGAAAGGTAGAGATGGGCAGAGGGAGACTGTAAAAGTTGGATAAAGCTTTACGCAGGGCTGACGGATTTTAGTATTTTATTTTCAGAGTGTTTTGCCAAATATTCATTCTTTTGTGCCATCCAACATATCCTGAGCCCTACTTTCCAAAGCTTTTCTTGGAACACCTAAATTATGTACGTAATACATAAAATTATAGTCACATCTGAGGAGACTTCCATTCTCCTTTGTACTGTATTCTTGTGTGCCGAATTTATTTATTCTTTCCTGCAAATCTTGTGTTGGGTTTCTTGTAGCTGTGACTAATCACGCTTGTTATTTTACAGTATCAGCTATGTCTGTCTCTCTTTCCCCAAGGAACAATATGAATTGTATTGTGAGATGGGCTCCACATTCCAGCTGTGTAAAATATGTGCTGAAAACGACAAGGATGTGAAGATTGAACCGTGCGGCCATCTGATGTGCACCTCCTGTCTCACTGCATGGCAGGTGAGACGTTGCCTCTTGGTAATCTCTCTGAGTGAAGCTCTTTGCTGTTTTACAGAAGTGGTGTATTCATTTCTCAAAGCTCTTCGATTTCCTTCAGGTATATAAGTAACTGAGGGCATATGCTGGGAGTTCAGTGATACCAGTGCACAGGGAGAAGCTGGTTAGATGCCTGATCTCTTAATCGAGAATATAGGCAAGGAATGCGAGGACTCGGTAAAAAGATGGGGTTTTTTGCTTCAGAGGGAAAAGCATCCCCATAATTGTAGCACACTTTGCCATTCTGTCTTGCTCTTAGTTCAAAGTACCTGCCAAAAAGCAAGTTTAATCCTCTTTATATGTTAACTGTGTGTTAAATTTCTGCATCATAGTGGCTGTTGTAACAGGTATCTTCTCTTCCCTGAAGGAATCAGAAGGCCAGGGTTGTCCTTTTTGCCGCTGTGAAATCAAAGGCACGGAGCCTATTGTAGTAGATCCGTTTGACCCAAGAGGAGGAGGAGGATTGTCACGGCAAGGAGCAGAAGGAACTCCCTCACCCAATTATGACGATGATGATGATGACAGAGCTGATGATTCCCTCTTCATGATGAAAGAACTCGCTGGTACCAAAGTAAGATCATCAGAGTAGATGTGGCAGTATGTACTAAGACTACATGTTCTCCATCAGTTTTATGTGGTCTTAGTGATTTGTGCTTGTGAAGATTGTTGGATCTTATAATAGGAAAGATCTTCCTCAGCATGGAAAACATGGATTTAGGTTCACTTTTGTTAAGCAGAGGTGATCACACCTTGAAATCTTCCATCATTTGTGTGTTGTCTTGAAAAAACCCTTAGAGGGGTGAAAAGGCTGGCTTGACCTATTGGATTGTAAGATCTAGGCTTGTAACACTTCTCTGCGTGCTTAGCAATGCTGCTTTTTATTTATTAGCCCTAGTTCACTCATATCAGCAAAAATTCATGCATTTTCCCCGGTCGCAAACAGAGCCAGCCACATAGCCGTCCCAAGGTCCTGAGGACTAACTGGGTAGAGGGCAGGCTGTCTTGCTGAGGAAGTCAGTTTGGCTGTCGTCTTTTTATATGGTGTCTGATGAAATTGCTTAACAAAAGGATGATAACTCCTTGCCATTAGTGCTGTACTCTGCGAGGAGATCTGTACAAGATGGGCATTCTTTATAGATCCTTGCTTTTTTTTTTTCCTAAAAGCTCGTTGCTGCCCTTGCACATCTGCACTTAGTATTGTTTTACTGCGTAGGGAAGTGGGTTTGAATCTGACTGATTTTTAATTAAAATAATCCTCTACGCTGATTTGTCTTTGGTCGTGTTTCTATTTAGTTTCTGCCCTGTGAAACAGTGTACCAAACAGTAAACTGTATTCCTGGGGGTAGTTTCTGCATTCATAGCTTGGGGAAGCAAAGCAATTTCTTCAGTGTGACACTGTCGTGGTTGGTGGTAGGTTGGTACTTGTTGGTGTTAGTGGGTTCAGACCAGTGTAAAGCTTTTCAAAGTTAGAAAGCACTAGCCTTGCTTGTAAAATAAACTTTATAAAAAAAGAGAAGAAGAGGTGCTGTTTTGATTTAAACGGAAAAACAGCTTTCCAGGGACAAAAATGGAGGTTTTGGTGCACACTAGCGGTTGCGGCAACAACCATGACGCTGTAGTCAGCACAGTTTTTGCAGTGCTAAGTAGGTTTTGCAGCAGATCGTGCCCTCTTGTGTCGAAAAGAAAGAAGCTTGCTTCTGCTCCGGGCCCGGTAAGGCGCGGTTTGTTATTGCAGCAAAACAGCTTGTCGTTGATTGTGCCATTGCTAAGCGTGTATTTTCAGTCGTGTGCCGCACCTAAGGCCACTGGTGATCCTGAAGGCTTGCTGCAAGTTAAATGCTGTTGGGCTGTGAAATTGCCCTTATTTACTTGTGTGTGAGTGTTACTAACATAGTAATTTGTAAGCAATAGTGATACTGAAGCCAGTACAAGTCACACACCTCCTTAGAGGAGTTCTGCTGAATTTCGTCATGTGTTTATTTTCCCATTCTTTTGTTTTTCAGGTTGAGCGTCCTCCTTCTCCGTTCTCAGTAGCTCCCCAGGCCACCCTTCCTCCCGTGCCACCACGACTGGATCTTTTGCAGCAGCGAGTGTCCAATCCACCTGGGGCTTCCAGTCCTGGGACCACTTCAAAGGTCAAACCCGCTGTTTTCCCTTTCAGCTATGATTTTGGTGGGGCAAGCAGGAAGAAGAGCCTGTAGGGTGAACCCTACATGTTCTCTGTGGTATCCCTAAGTACTTTCACCTTTTCTTCTTCCTTTTCTGTATTCCTGTTAGGCCACTTTCCTTCCATTCCCTGTGAAAACCCAGTCTGTCTTGAAAGGAAATGCTACCTTCCAGAATCCATGGTAGGAGAGTCCCTTTTTTGCTGCTGAAAGGGCCTGTCTTTTTATTCACATATGTCCGTGCACTTGCTAGAGAGAAGCTGGTCCTTGCTCACTTAGGGTGACTGGTGTCGTCCTGTTGAACTGCTAAGTTAGTGAGAATATCTTCACTGGTTTTCAGGCTCAGCAACTTCTGCCTGTACCCTTTGGAACTGTATTTACAGGCTTGTGTTTTGTTCTAGCTAGCAGGCTAAATGTGTGAAGGTGTCACATTCTTGTCCTAGCTTTTCCTTTTCTTCATCAGTTTTTCCATTGAGCATTTTTTCAGATAGAAAACTAAGGAAGGAATGAAATATGTGTGACTGGGAGAGACTAACTAGTTTCTGACCGACTAGGTGAAAGCAGTAATGTCACCTTGGTGACATTTGGTCATTGACTAATGAGATATTGGCAGCAATTTGTCAGCTGCTTTGGATGAAGTAATGCACTTAAGCTTGCAAGCTCAGGCAGAAGAAAATAGCCATTTCTGTGAATCATAGAATCATAGAATGGTCTAGGCTGGAAGGGACCTTAGAGATCATTTAATCCAACCTCCCTGTCGTGCAATATCCATTGCTGACAATTTAATCTTTTTTTATTTTTAAATGACATGTGTCCTTTGTTTGGAATTCAATCTAAGGCTGCTGCAAGGTTTGTTTTTTTTCTTCAAGAAAAACAGTCTAGGGTGTTTAATGCCAGGCTGTAGCTGCACAGAGTTACTGTGTTATCTTTTCAAGCCTGTAGAGGAGGTGTCTCTGGAGCCTTAACTTGTGGAGATGTGGAGAGTTATCTGCGTATCCTTTGAGATAATTTCTTCTAAAAACAAATAAAACACCCTTCTGTCACCTGCTTACCTCCTTTTTTGTGTTTTGTGCCCAGATTACCTTTGTTAAACAGTATTTTACATTCTTTTGCCTTCCAGGCTGCACCTGGTACTCTTCACAAGGATAAACCTTTACCAATCCCGCCCACGCTCAGAGATCTCCCACCGCCACCACCTCCAGACAGGCCACATTCCATTGGGACTGAAGGTCGGCCTCAGAGACGTCCCCTGCCCTGCACCCCAGGAGACTGTCCTTCGAGAGACAAACCACCCCCCGTGCCCTCCAATCGCCAGGCAGATCTGTGGCCGTCCCGGCCGATTCCAAAAGCCCCTTCTGTAGCTCTCAGCCCTGGTGACCCTTGGGCTGGTAGAGAACTGTCAAACAGGCACTCGCTTCCCTTTTCCTTGCCCTCTCAGATGGACTCCAGGGCTGAGAGCCATCGGCTTGGGAGCACGCTCAGCCTGGACAACCCAGTGGTGAGTAGGCCTGTTGGAGCTGGAAGTAATCTATGAGGAACTGAGTCTTCTGAGCTGTCCTCTTCTCATAGTTTGCATCTGAATAGGGCAGTCTTGCACTGAGGGAGAGATGGAAAGGAACTGGTGAGTGCCTGGCAAAGGAGAATAGCGGAGGACCTCTTAGGGAAGTGCTTTCCTGCCTCTTGGGAGCAAGACTGAAACCTAGTTTGAGCAATCATGAGCCACAATTTCACTACCACGGTTCACCTTTCAGTTTTGAAAAACTGAGGGTGTTTCGTATTGGGAGCTGGATGCTGAAGAAACGTAATTTACTCTTTTCAGTTTTCAGTCCTGTAAAACTTAAACACAGTAGCTATGATTAGTTTAACACAACAAAATCTGAGTTAAATTTGGATCTGTTACTACTATGATATGTAAACTTAATAGTCCAACATACTGATTCATGGTTTGGAATTTTTTCTTTCAGAGCTTGAACAGTGGTACAACAACAACCTCAGAGTGTGAACACCCCAAAATTAAACCATCCTCATCTGCCAATGCGATCTACTCCTTAGCTGCCAGGTGTGTTGTTTTCCAGTACGTTGCTCTTTTCTAACTTACAGAACCGTAATCGTAGGATTCTCCATGCTGGTGCCAGGGACAGAATTTGACACAACTCTGTCAGCCTTAGTTTCTGACAGATTGAAAATGCATAATCTAGAGAGAGCAGATGAAGTCAGAATCCCAAAGTTCTGTGGGTAGTGATGGTACTTACCCTTGGCTGTGGTAATAGGAAACAGGCTACAGTTGCCATTAGCTCTTTTGTGAATTCTCTTCTGAGTTGGTCTTTAAGTGAAGTAGGTGGTGTATAGTCTGTGTGATACTGTCAACTTCCTTTTGCATAATGACTTTGTGCCACTGTGACTTTGCAGCTGGGCTGATGTGAATCCTGAAAGCTGGGTTATTTCTGTAGGCAGAATTGCTGTAGAATGGCTGCTTGTTACTTCCACTGTGGATTTTAAAGGCCACGTTGGTATTAATTAGATTTGGTATAAATGTTTTCCTTATGTCTTTGTCTTGTTTCTTCTGCCTCCAGACCACTCCCTGTACCAAAACTGCCTCCTGGGGAACAGTCTGAAAGCGATGAAGACACTGAATACATGTCACCATCGTCTCTGCCTGTGGTGCCTCCAGGACCTGCTGTACAAAAACCAGAGATGAAAATGCCTTTGGAAATTACTCAGAGTTTACGGTGAGATTCTGTTTGTATGTGCTGGGCTTCCTCCTCCCAGCTCTGGGAAAGCATATTTGTTTACTAAGGTGGAGATTTTGCTTGCTCATTTGCTGAATTCCCCCAGTGATAGTTACCAGATCTAGATTAATGTAGCTGACTGTGACTAATGGTCTTTTGCAGAATCCTTATACAGTATTAAAGGACTCAGCTAACCACTCCCTCCTCTTTCCACCTTTTGAGAGCAGCAGCAACTGAAATTCAGAATTCTGTTAGAAGGCTGTGTTCGAGTGGTATCCCTTGAACCCCCTTAAGCCGATATGCTGTATTGCAATATACGTTACTAGAGCATTTTCTGGAACAAACATTCTTTCACAGAATAGTGGGTGTGTCACTCTGAAGCAGGGATCTGTGCAGAATCTCAGTCGCAGAGAGACTGGGTGATGGTGGTTGACCACTGTCACTTGCCTGAAGGGAAATACGTGTTCTCTCCCTCAGAGTTCTAGACTGCGACCAGCAGGCGGATGGCTGTACTTACGAAGCCATGTACAACATTCACTCCCAAGCAGCATCCTCTGCTTTCGAGACTGTCAACGCTTCTGGTGAGTGGGTGTGCTAAACAACTGAGAAACTGGGGTACAATGAATTGGTCCCAGTCCAAGTTGGAACAGCATTTTAGGCTAAATTAGCCATGCTTTCATTGTTAAAATAGCTAGGAGATACGTGGAGACATCTGGGCCTGGTACTGCAGAGTGCATGCAGGGATGTTGTTGGGAAGCCTAGTTGGAATGCACTGGAAAAATACTCAACAGTTGTTAACCAAATTACTGGTTTGAAGATTATTTTTTTTTCCTGGGCAGCAGTTGTCAGCCCACATCTGTCATAAGTATTTTTAATCTAATACTACCTTCTGGAAAGAGCTTCCACTGAATGTGCATTTTGGCAGCAAAACCTTAGTTCTGTGTCCTGTCAATGTTTGTGGACTACAGAGGGAGAGAGTCTGCCTTTGGAGACAGAGGCTCTGTTCAGTCCCAGAGCTTGGAGTGTGCTTCTTATTCTAGATGAAGGGGATCTGGCAGCAGCCACTGCCAGCAACGGCCCTGAAGAGTCAGAAAATGAAGAAGATGGCTATGATATCCCCAAACCACCGCTACCAGTTGCTATTGCTCGTCGCACACTGTCCGATATCTCCAATGCCACATCTGCCTTCAGCCGAATGTCTTTGGAAAACGACCCTGTGACAGGTTAGAGAACTCTGCATGTTGTCGTGGGCACTGAGAGCCTGCAGTGCCTGTTTGATACCTGTGTCGCTTACTCAAGGTTTTGTACGTGAGCTGTAAAATCCGGTTTACAAGGCAGAATTATACAGGTTTGCTGCCTGTATAAATCACGTTTAAATCATGGTTAGGAAAAACGTTTCCTCATCTTAAAGAGTATTCCTTAAGCCCCGGTTTCCTACGGGGCACGGCATACCTTTGGTGCTGGGGTGCACCAGACCATGAAAAAGAGCTCAAGCATTCCAAGTGAAGGACGGAAGGCTGGCCTTGCACCCCTTCTGCCTGGCTCCATCTCGGCATCAGTCGTTGCCAGCAGAGGGCACGAATGTACTGTTTAATGCCGTCGGTGCCTTTGAGCAGTGACCTGGTTGCTCAGCAAGGTCAGCTCTGTGTGCCTGGGGAGTAGAGTACAGCTTGTCCTTCTGGCTGCAGGGGACGTTCTTCGAGGGAGAAGCCAAACCCTCATCTCTCCACGAGCCTTTCTGAGTTTGACTTATTCCCTGCAACTGCCCAGCAGCTCTAAAGGAACCTCTGAAACTCTTCCTGTTGGGGGGCTTTCAGCATGTCTAAACACCCTGACAATTTGTTAAGTAAGAGCGATGGTTTTCTTGTTCCCTCTGGAGGCAGCACCTCCTGTGCTCAGGACCGCTTGCCTCAATGAGTCTTCTTTTCACCTGCTTCTCCACTTCCCCTTCTCTGAGCTTGCCCTTCTTCATTGCAGAGAAGTTTCATAGAATCATAGAATCATAGACTGGC